TAGCTAAATGGCAATACTGATGGATAGTATGTGGAATGTAGCAAAATGGTTAACAAAAGTGTTTTACTGATTTTTTTTTTTTTTTTCTCCTTCCTCTTCAAATAACAAGGGAGTGGTAGTACTGCTTTTTAAGGACAGGGATAAACTCTGCAGATATTTTTTAAAATTCATTTTGCTTTTGCACCCAGGCCAGATTCCAGAGAAATAGCTGTATAGTAACCAGGCAGTGGTTTGTCTCACTGTTACTCCTGTCAGAGTGTGGATATAGTGCTTGCAGATGCAAATAACTGTTAGAGTGCATTTTCATGAGATGTTTCATAACATCCTTCAAGGCTAAGGTTTTGAAGCAACAGTTCTTCTTTTTAGCATAAACACTCTGATGTCTACTACAACATGTCTGTCTTTGGTCTAATCTTAGTAAGTTCTCTGGTAAATTGTTGCCCACCACTGTTAATGGGGTCAGTGGCTAAGTATAAGTGGACAGAAAGTAGTTCAGTTACTTGACAGGTGTTTGTGTCTTTTAGTTGGAGATCTGTTATCTCTAGTATGGTGACAACTTCTTCGAGGTGCCTGTTTTAGGTAGAGTTGTTACCAGCTACAGCCCTTGCAGCTTCCATGGAATCATAGTTTGGGTTGGAAGGGACCTTTAAAGGTCATCCAGTCCAATTCCCCTGCAGTGAGCAGGGACATCTTCAACTAGATCAGGTTGCTCAGAGCCCCATCCAACCTGAGCTTGAATGTTTCCAGGGATGGGGCATCTACCACCTCTCTGGGCGACCTGGGTCAGGGTTTTACCACCCTCGTTGTAAAATATTTCTTCCTTATATGTAGTCTAATTCTACCCTCTTTTAGTTCAAAACCATTACCCCTTGTCCTATCACAACAGGCCCTGCTAAAAGGTTGGTCCCCATCTTTCTTACAAGCCTCCTTTAAGTCCTGAAAGCCCACAATAAGGTCTCCCCTGAGTCTTTTCTTTTCCAGGCTGAACAACCCTAACTCTTTCAGCCTGTCCTCATAGGAGAATTGCTCCAGCCCTCTGATGATCTCCGTGGCCCTCCTCTGGTCCTGCTTCAACACGTCCGTGACTTCTTATGTAGGGGGCCCCAGAGCTGGACATAGTACTCTGGGTGGGGTCTCGCCAGAGAAGAGTAGCGGGGTAGGATCAGCTCCCTTGACCTGCTGGTCACGCTTCTTTTGATCCAGTTCAGGATACGGTTGGCTTTCTGGGCTGTGAGCACATACTGTTGGCTCTTCTCCAGCTTTTCATCCACCAGTACTCCCTTGACCTGCTGGTCACGCTTCTTTTGATCCAGTTCAGGATACGGTTGGCTTTCTGGGCTGTGAGCACATACTGTTGGCTCTTCTCCAGCTTTTCATCCACCAGTACTCTTCTTGGCAGGGCTGCTCTCAACCCCTTCATCCCCCAGCCTGTATTGGTACCAGGGTTGCCCCAACTCAGGTGTGGGACCCTGCACTTGGCTGTGTTGGACCTCATGTGGTTCACTTGGGGCCACTTCTCGAGCTTGTTCAGGTCCCTCTGGATGGCATCCTGTCCCTCAGGTGTGTCAACTGCACCACTCAGCTTGGTGTCATCTGCCAACTTGCTGAGGAGGCGCTTGATCCCACTGTCAATGTCATTGATGAAGATATTGAACAGTACCGGTCTCAATACAGACCTCTGAGGGACTGTTGTTTGTAACAGTTGCTGTGACCTTGTATTTTTATGGCTGGTGTTTTATTGTTAATAATGAGCTTTTAACTATTACTAGCAGTATCACATCTTTATATCTTTTTGTTCTATAAATCCTGTTCTGCATTTTGCCAGTTACATCTTGAAGTCCAAAGTAGAAGTGTTCCACTATATTTGAAATTTAATCTCTTTTGTATTGTAGAAATTACAATTCAGCTTTTGTTAAAATGAAAGCATCTGTGGAATGTGATATAAGCAGAAGGAAGAGGTGAAGGAAGGAACGTTATGGACGACAAAGTCCTTGTGCTTGGAATTCCTGCATTCTCTTTATATTTAAATATCAGTGTGGAGCATCAGCAATTATTCTAGCCCATAGGTTAGTGTACCATTGAAGAAGTCTAGTTGTATAATAGTCCAGGGCTTAATTTTTTAATTTTTTTAAAGAAGGGAAATAAGTATCAAAAGTCATCATTCATGAAATGGAATAAACTAGAATTTCCACTTTAATTCAACTGTGGAAATTGCAAGTTCCCCAACTTGAAAAACAGCTTTTTACCAAGATAATGCTGTTCAGCACATGGTGTAAGTGTGCTCACAGTGCCAAAACATAGCTTTTAGGTTAAGCAAACATTAGTTACTGACATCATTGACCTGATAAACTGCAGCGCAAGCCTTTCCACCTCTATTTAGCTGATAATCTTTATCAAAAGATGGACTGTTTGACGAAGAGCAATTTTCTGTAAATATATTGAATGCCATCCTCTTTGCTTTGGCAGTTGGTGCAGATCCATTGTTAAATTAGGCTGACTGACCCAATATTGAACAGCAGCAGATGTGAAAGATATGGAAACTATGTCAAGAGAGAATTTATGCTGCGAAAGGTGCACATCTCTTTAATAGATTAAAATCTTACAAAGAGGCAGATAAAAATCTTGGTCAAATGTCTGAGGTTTTTTTTTCTGCACCCTTTTCAGGTAGAAATTCCACATTTGGAGCAGCTGTAAAATTCTGAGTAATAGTTCAGAACCTTGTAATTAAATAGGTTATCAGTTAAAATTTCTCAGTGCGTTTGCTGGCTTGATTTGTCAAAGTGAAATTTGGAAGTTCCCTCTGTCAGACCTTCAGCAATCCAGTAATGAGCTCTGTAGCAGATATTCCTTAAAACATGAAATCTCGACGCTTTGGGGAACCTAGTTACCTGCTCTGCATAAATGGGGAGAATGTGGGGGTGTAGACTATGTAACTCAGCATAGCCTTAAAAAACAAAGTCCCTAGCTGCAGAGTTAGGATGCAGATAAGGGATGAAGCTTCCCTTGGTATGTTAGTAGTTCTGGTTCTGTTGGCTTGACTGGACACACTGTTCTCAAAAGATCGAGAGCGCAATGTGCTGGGTGGAAGACTTGAATTTTCTTTAGGAAAAAAAGTGTTCAGTATTTTGCTTGAGGTAGTTGCAAGTGTTTGTCTTGGTTGAATTGCCTGCCTGTCTGTGCGTTAGTCAGCCAGCATCATTTAAAAAAAAAAATAAAAAAATCCAGACTGGAAGACAAGGAAAGTTCTGTTGGCTTACAAAGCTGTCTTCTGTTCCTAGTATGTAAGTACAGTGTTTTAAATAAATTGGAAAATGAGAAGTGAGATTTTTACTACTGGTTTTCACTGCTGGTTATGAGGAAAGGAGGGAGGCGAGTGCTATCTAAAGGTTGTCTTAAATTTAAAAGAGTATTTGGATATAATCAGATTTTTATTAAAAATAATCATAAATCTGGCTGATGTTGAGCTGGAGTAAGCTAGTATTGGGAGAGGAGGGAGGATTAAATGTCAGGCTGTAAGATTGCATTGGCCTGCCTAGAGTCTGTCCTTAGTTGTAGTATTTTATTTTTGTAGTTATAACCATGAGCACTGATATTCAAAGAATTACTAATCTTGTGATAACTTTCATGGCTAGAATATATACCTGCCTTTTGTACGTACATGCATAAATATATAAAAACAGATAAATTACTACTGAACATTCTACTTTTGGGCAATAACTTTTATCTGTTACAGTATAGTAACAAAGTATTATATTAGTTCATAAGACTGAGCTTTAGATTGAGTCTTAATGTAAGACTGCATACTCTGCTTTTTAGTTTTTATGTCTGTCTTTATGAGAGAACTGTTTTGGTTTACTTATTTTTGCTTGCCAAACAGCAGAACGTTGGTTTTCTCTAAACTGACTTTGTCTGGAAACACACGTAAGCACTTCAGGGGACTAAAAGAATTGATCAGAAGCCCTTTGCTATCTGTGCCTCTCGCGGTTCGGAGATGTATGTTCCTGCTGTATTCTTCCATGCCCATCCCTTAGAGGGAACGCATAAAGAGCTGGGTACAAACTTTCTGGGTCCTTTGGAATACCAAGGAAAGTCAAAACCCTGAGGTTAAACTTTTAGAGAGCTTCCAAAGGCTTTGAGGGACAGCTGTCAGTATTATATCTTTCTCCTTGGTGCTTAATCTGGTAGGTTTCCTTCACGTTTCACTTAAAACAGAGATGTAACTTACAAAAAAGTTCAGGCACACAGGAAGCATATCTCAGAGTAAAATAGTTAACGTATGGAATGCTTGGAGAGTCAGTGTATTTACCTTGATAAACGTAGCAGATACATTAAAGATGTATCTACACTGCACGTTAACTTATTCTAAGTAAGCATGATGAAAGGTACTGCTCTGGTGCTGGAGCTGGTTCAGGTTACTGTACGGTGCTGCAGATGGCTTTGCTTGCTTTCCTTGTAACTGTTGAAGCTTCCATAAGCTTCTAGAAGGACAAGGGCTTTAGGGTTCCTAGGAGTTCCTAAAATCAGGACTATTTTGTAGAAAATAATACACATTAATCATCTTTTTACTTTCTCTTGCCTGTGGAACCACTGGGTCAGTCTTCTCTTCCGGCTTCATTATGAGGCACGTAGGTCTTTGGGTCTTACAAATACTTTATCTTTTGTGTAAGTAACATGTCTCTCCTCTGTAATGATGAGAGAAACATGATGAATCTGCTCCAAAAAAATTCTAAATATAGTCTTAGCAGTAAAAATCTGTCAGTAAAAACATGACTGTTGCAGTTAAGTGTTTGCTGTTGTGAAGTATATCTGTGCTACTTCTAATAGTACTGGTTTTTTCCTACTTAAAGCTGAATTAAGCTTTGTGTTCAAAGCATTCTTTGAAATTAATGGTAGTAGTTATATTAGTAGTGACTATGTTTCCTTGTGAATAATGCAAAAATGCGTGTAAATAAAAATATGCACTGAAGTAATCTATGCATGTATTATTTTTTTTTTTTCAGTAAAGTGAAGCAAGGTCTCCTTCCCAGCTTGGAAGATCTACTTTTCTATACTATTGCAGAAGGACAAGAAAAAATACCAGTTCATAAATTCATAACTGTAAGTTTACTGTTCCAGAATGCTGTATGAAAGCAACCTACTACAAGGTTATTTTTAACATTCTAAATGCAAGAATAGAAAGCAAAGAATTTCTGTTATACATGGCTAGCTGCAGCACGGAATGTAGCTATTTTCCCCCCTCCCAACCCTGTTCCTGCAATTAAGTAAGAGAATGCGTGTACTAGTATTGTTATTTGCTGCTTAGCTGTGCAAAAGAGAATGCTTGAAAGCATCTGTCTATGGCAGGGCTGGGTAGTATTTGCACTTATGTAAAATGTAGTTGAACCGCTATGAATTTTGAATTACATGAATTCTTTGATGTCAGACGCAGCCAAAATGGCAGAAGGAAATGGCAAAAAAAAAACCCAACCACAACCCAGTTCGTAAATTCATTGTCATTCTAAATATAAGGATCAATAAGGTGTCAAAATGTCTCTGTATTGATAATGCAGTGGCAGATGTCCCTTATCTTGATAAATGAGACCTAACAGTAGTGAACTTGATTGTAAAAGCATATGTTTTCATTTTAGTAATTACTGTTTTATTATAATAGGCACTCAAATCTACAGGATTACGTACGTCTGATCCTCGATTGAAAGAGTGCATGGATATGTTAAGACTGACCCTTCAAACAACTTCAGATGGTGTTATGCTGGACAAAGACCTTTTTAAAAAGTAAACTTTCTGTCAATAATGTAACTGTATAATTCTGAATGAATGGTGTCTGTATGTTACTGACTGCTGTCTTAAGAGAGACATAAGGTACATAAATCAATGTGTAATTAGAAAGGGGATCAAACACATGCTCCTACTGATGCTATTTTCATATGAGTTTGTTCTCTGGTTTGTGTGATTGTGTTCTCAGATTGTGTGATCTCCACTAGAGTTTATTGTATCAGGGTTGTTTGCCTGTATATCTGACCCCATACTGCAACACTTGATTAGGTGCCAAATAAATTAATTGATGCAGCATGGAGTATTTAGTATGGGTACACAAAGCTGCTCTCTTGCTGCGTCCTCAGTTTTTAATCTGAAGTTCAGGATGCTGCTTCTTTGTAGTGAAATGTTCAGAGTATCTATGTAGTTAATTCTAAAAGTGAGTATAGAAAAAACAGAGTGAAGCTAACTTTCAAGATCTGTAGAGATGAGAGCAGTTGGGCTATAGACACTGTTTTGGAAGAGACTTACATGCAATATTTTAGTGATTTTTTTTTTGATTTTTTTTTTTAAGAGAAGTCTGTGGTCAGTTAGCTGAACAATAGAAGTTCTGTTCAGGTTGTCTTCAGTTCATTCCAAGCCTACTCCTTTGCTCCTCTACTTACAGTTTTTGTCTGCCAAAAGTTTGGATGTTTAGAGGCTCTTAAATCTTGAAATTAAATTTGTGGACTTATTTTTGAATCTATATTTTTATTCCATTTACAGGGTAAATTACATAATATCTAAAACTTGATTCTTTAGTGAAGAGTATACTTTTGTCAAAATAGCACATTTTGACATGTGCAGTTTCCTCTCGGTTACAATTAAAAAAATACGTAGATGTATATAAAAAAGTGTGTTTACATATTATATACATCTAAGTATATAAAAGAAATAGTATACAGTGTATATTTATACTGTATTACATATTTACATAATTTATATAAACTATACATGTTATATATTTTTAAATACATAAACATTTTTGGAAGTACATTGAGAAAAAATGAATGTGTGTGACAAAATAACAAACCAGTCAAATACTTAACCAAATGTGGGATACTTTTTAAAGGTACAACACAGGCTAATTTTATTCCTATATTTAAGTTCAAGACTAGGTCTTCACTGGTTATTTGTCAGCACAGTAAAAGCTGTAAATTTTAAGAGTCAGAAGCTTTCCTGGGTGTATGGTTGGATTGGAAAGGGGATGCTTATGCTATTATGCGTTGCATTTATACTAGAAGGCTTGTTTGTAATAGTAAACTATGAATTATGTTTTAGGCAAGGGCTCTATATTTAAAAAAGGACAAGTGATTGCTAAGTAGAGAGCTGGAGATTATAATGCCTGTGTTCTACGTCATATCTCTAGGATTTTATCCCCTGTGTTAGAAGAGTGGTTGTTACTATGATAATTTGTGGGAAGCTTACGTGGTTGCTTTGTGTGTAGGAGGAGTTTGGAACACAAAGAGGGTGGAGAGGTGAATCTCTTCTCACGTAGCAGATTTTCCTCGCAGCAGCAGGTGTTAACCTTTTTTATAATTTAACACAGACCACCCTACACACTAGTTAATAAAGTAGCAGTAGTACTATCCAGCTGTTATCAGATGAAACTTAGGCAACTTAACAAATATGGAAGATTGTACATGCTAATCTTCCTCATGAAATGTGCACATTTTGACATATCCTACTTTATAGATCTGTTTCTATCACACTGTAGCTAATTTTTAGGAAAATTTCTAATAATCTTTGTAAGAAATCCTCCTACCCCTCTTAGCTTTTCCTTTAGTTCACAGCTCATTGCTAACAGAACAATAGAAGACTTGCAAAAAGCCGTATTTCTTACCTAACACTATTTTAGTCAGTGGGGGGTGGTGGTAAAGGAAAGGCATGAGGCAATCGGAACTGAGTTATTTTGGAAATGCTGGAAACTTGAATGTGGCGATAGCTACTGACCAACAGCTATAACTCCAAGGTTTAAAGTCAGCTCTCCTTCTGACCAACAGCTATAACTCCAAGGTTTAAACTCAGCTCTCCTTCACGAGAGCTTACGTGGCTTTGTAGAGTTAGCCTTTGCCACAAGGTGCTGTCTGTCCTGCTTTCTTGCCCTAGAACCACGCTCTTGCTCGCCAGATCTCTTCTGGTCTGCAGGTAGGAAGCAGCAGTCTGGGTATGTTGTGTTCTGGGCATAAACCTGCTGGATTTCAAACAGGGTTTTCTATTTGCTTTCAAGTGGCTTGTGCTGCTCTCAGTCTTCTATGTAGCAAATGCTGGGGAAAACTTTCATTTTTAGATGTGCTCAACCCAGGTATATAAATGTTTTTATCCTATTTAAGCAATTAGAAAGCTTTTGACAGAAGATGTAGCATGCCTCTGCTATGTTATAATATTAATACCTCATTTGTCAAAATAATGTCACTTTGTTTCCTATAATGTCTAAATATATTGAACACTTCTACAGAGCTAGTCTTGCTACGTGGAAATGGAGTTTCACATTCCTTTCTGTAGTGTTTATGCTGTTGCTTTTCAAACAGGAAAAAAGGTGTCCGGCATATAGACACCCTAACAGTTCTTCAGAATTGGTGGGGGTTCAGGCACTGTTTTTAGCAGGTGTCCTTTCTGGGTAGGAAAGCAGTAATTGGGCAGCCCAGCCAGAACTTGAAAAATAATGAATAAATGTAACAAGTTGTATAAAGGAAAGGATAAAGGAAACAAAGTGATCCTAACTTTATGCTAGACACCAGCTGTTCAGTTTCAAAAAAACCCAAACAAACCCACGAAACTGTTACTTTCAGTGAAAGTTACTGTAGATCCTAATCTCCCTAACCCAAATGTATCAGGAAAGTCTTATAGTTTTTGAAAATGTGTTACCAAATGGGGGAAGAAGTGCTTGGATTGGGATTTGGCAAGACAGAATATTTTAGGGTGAGACTGTAAAGTCTGGAGAAATGGAAAAGTTTGAAGTGTGAGGTTTTTAGTGTGTCTGTCCTGAACACTGCAGAAGTACGTGAGGGATGAGGGCTACATTGTTAGTAAAATTTGACTGTAGAAATATTTTTATTTATCAATATGTTCATTGACTTAGATTCCTTGTTGTGATCTTTTCCTACTGCTCCACTTCTGAGCCTCGGAGCATTTGTCTCTGAAGGGTTGCCTGGAACACAAACCGATTAGAAATTCCGGTGGGAAGGAGATGCCAGTTGCAGAATTATAGAGGCTGTCAAAGCTAGTGTCCTCTGCTGACTGAAAACATTACTGCCCCGTTAGTTGGAGCTTTCTGAGACCCCTGTCAATTTGTCCATGTGGTAGTTGTTCCACATACCCATCTAGATTAATTGAACTCCCATATTTAATGTCGTATGATTTACTTGGGTTAAGGAGTAGCAGGGTAAATACTCAGACACTGACCTTGGCAGAAGTCTGGGAACAATAACTTCTTGCAGAAATAGGTAGTGTCCATAACCAGCATAGTTATTTCTGCAGTGAGTTTCAGTCTCAAGCTTAAAATGATGAAATTATTGAATCCTTAGACCTGAAATGAATTGGTGTGTAAATGCCCTTCCTATTCCAGAAACATGTCAGAGGACTGTATTTCAGTGCATACTGCCTTTTTGTTGTTTTCTACACTTAGTTGAGTTCTTTTTACAGGTTTAGGTGAACTTTTTTTTTCCTCACAAGAGTTCTTAATGCTGTCCAGGTGATCCAGACAATGTAGAAGTGCATCTGAAGGTTAAACCTGGTGCATATGTGCATTGTTTTTCCTTCAGCACATGTAACTGCCATTAACTGTTCTTAATTACTTTTGAATAGGGGTTGTTGCACCTGGAGTAGGTAACTGTAATTGGAGGCCGCAGGGAACATAAATGAACAGGATTTTCTGCCAGATACACGAAAAAGGAGTGGATAAGCATGACAAATTACAACACCACCAACTCAGTTGCTATTTTAACATGGACTTTCAAAGCAACTTATTACAGACAGAGCAGTTCTTAAGATGCCAGTTGGTACAACAGAACCTTCTCTACTGTTTCTCTTTCACTTGTGGAGGGTAGTGCATTCCAGCATTTGAAACGGTTGTCAGCTGATTTCGGAATCAAGTTTCTGAAGTACAAAGGAGTTCGAACTGAAGCTTTAAAAAAAGAGAAGGGTATTCAAAGGGAAGATAACTCTGTTTGTTCACTGGTCTTCATGCAATCTCATTTTGAACTGATAATGACTTTTATTAATAGGATTATTGGAAGTATCTATTTTAAGTGAAAGAATTTCCAAAAAAAATAATTTTTTACTTTTCTGAATAACTCTTCATTGGAAGGATATATGTTCGTTCATAATATGGGCCTAGATGTTCTTAACTTCCCATTTGTCTGAATTAACAGTTTGTTTATGCATAGTGTGACAGTGTTAAAGGAAATTGTTTGTTTGGTGTTAAAGCTCCCTTTCTCTTTCTTGCACTGGGATAGGGCTGTTAATACCCTTTATCAGGTCATATTTCAACTGCCGTGATAATGGCTCCCAGTTCCCAGCCCTGCTTCTGCTCCCCCCACATCCCCAGACACGCCACTTTAAGCAGGGTGTCTCTGCTTGTGTTTTGATCCTTCCCTCCTCCTGTTTCTCCTAGATAAGTCCTTTCCTTTTTACCTCATCGGTTTTCTAAATGTACCAGATGGGCTGATGTTCAGAGGGTGTGGGCGATAATGTATTGTGGGTTAAAAGGCAGCAAAGATTCCTTAACTGGTGCTAGTTTGAAGGAAGTGACTTGCTGTACTGCTTACTGTTAACTTTTGTTTAGTTTAGAAAATATTACCGAGTACTTCTACAGGGTTATGTTCTTATTAGAGTGGAAATGCACACTGGTTTTGTCTGTTGTCAGTTGTTTTGTTCAGTTCATGGTAAAACCAGTTGGAAAGAGAGAAGCCAACCCTGAAGCTCAGAAGTTGGATCTAACTTTGAAATTAGCACTTCTTTGAACAAGGGCTGGGTTAGATGGCTGTCACGTATCTTCATCCTAAGAAATGGGTGGCTTAGATCCCTTTTGCAAGCTTAGATGCTACTTGAAGGCAAGTTGATAGTACCTTGCAGTGCAGCCTTACAAATGACACTTCAAATAAGGGCTTTAAATAAAAAGGCATAAAAGCCAATACAATGAAATAACTTAAAATATTAAAAAAATAAAAAAAAGATTTATGGAGTGGAAAATGGAGAGGTCTTTCTAATAAAGTCCTGTTCTTGTAGGCATGTAACTTCAAGGGACTTAAGGTCCTTATTTAAATAGCATGTAATTGCTGCTTAAGTAGGCTTTTTGACAGTACTTTTTCAAAATACTAATGGATTTTTTTTTAACTCTTTGCAGGTGTGTACAAAGTAATATTGTGTTGCTCACTCAAGCTTTCAGGAGGAAGTTTGTCATTCCAGATTTTATGTCGTTTACTTCACATATTGATGAGTTATATGAAAGTGCTAAAAAACAATCTGGAGGAAAGGTAACCTGTTTGTAAATTCACTTGTAAATTTCACTTGAAACTTCTATAGATTTCTTGATACTGACGAAATATATTTGTTAACCAGACAGATTTTTCTTAAGTTTTCAGCAAAATGTAAAACCATTTATCAAGTTATGTCTGCAACTTCTAAACTGTGTTAGAAATAAAGCTTGTTACCTCTAACGATATTTTACAATTTTGAAGAATAGAGAAAATTGCATTGTTCTTTGTTTTACATAAATTATAAAACTGCTTTATAATTTGTCGGACTAAACTTAGTCTATAAAAAAAATTACACTATACAACTGCCTGGGCTGTGTGACAGAAATAGTTGCCAATACCATACCTATGTTGGTAATTCAAGTTTATTCTAGCACTTATTTCAATAAATTAATTGGAAAAAAAAAACCCAAACTTTGTTACAAGCTAAAACTTTGTATGATTTGAAAATACTAAACGTGCTGTAACATAGAAGAGAGATTCCTCTTAGAATGAGCTGAAGTTTGTACTTTCATTGAAAAAATATTTTATAATGATCTAATGAGTGTAATTGTTTGTAATGAAGTTTTAGATATACTAGATGATTATTAGTGGAACAATTCAGTTGTAATTTGTGTATCCTTTCTGTTGGCATTTATTTTAATTAATGTGTAGTTAAATATTTTGGATGTTGTAATGTGTCTGTGTTTATTTCACATTGTGATAGGTTGCTGACTATATTCCACAACTGGCCAAGTTCAGCCCTGATTTGTGGGGTGTCTCACTTTGCACAGTGGATGGACAGAGGTATATTCTAACTTTTACTGTTTCAGTTATTTAAATTATGTGGTATATTGGGAGGAGCAGGGAATTGGACATGATGGTCCTTATGGGTCCCTTCAGCTTGGGATATTCTGTGATACACAGCACTTCTTGATATCTCATGGTTTAATAAAGAGAAAGTTTTATTGATGGTGTTTAAGAAGTGAAATCCATTTGGTCATCTTAAGATTTTTTTTTTTTCAACTTCTCTGTTTAAATTGAATTATTTTGCTGTTATTATAAAATGTTGTTTAAATAGTATTTGTAAATATTATACTTAAAGCTAGGCTATATTGAGCTTATGATCCAAATACGGTCACAAAGCTGTGGGTAATTCTGGTGATTACCAAAGGACAAGGTAGAGACAATGCTTATGTCATATTAATTTGTGGAAGTTGAAGGGCTTTGCTAATAGTACCCATGCCTTGAGCTACATTATTTTTTTTCTGTAAGTCACGATTTACTTAAAAGTTAGTTCCTTTTCTACACTTTAATATTCTTATTGTAGCGTTATTATAGGATCACTGTATGTCACTGAAAAAAATTCATACCCAGATTCTTTAAAAAAGAAAATGAAAGTATGACTGGACAGAACTTAACATGATTCTGCTTTTCAGTTTTATTAAATTTTAACCTGTAAGGGTGTATATAGGTCTTAGGTATATCTGGAGTGATTTTATTGAATGGTGACTCAGTGTAGCAGAAATAGTTAGGAGCCAGGAAGTAAAGGAGTATCTCTCATTATCTAGCTGAGAAGCAAGGTGAGCTATTCTCTGCCCACCTTTGGGACTAGACAATGTGAGATTTTAATCAGCTTGCATCTCTCTGCTGTGTTGCAGTTTGATGTAGTCATACTGTGTATTCTGAGTACCATAATTTTTAGGTATTTGGTCTGTCCCAAGTGAATGAAGCATTCCTGAGAGAGGATCAGACTTGCTTATGGTGACTGTGGATTTGGGATCATTTTACTGTTGTCTGTTATGATCTGCGTGTTTGTTTCTTGTTAGCTGTGTGCTCTATAGTCTCTAGAGGAAGAGCTATACAAGTGAGTTGAAGTATTTTTCAGCTCCCTGCTTAGGTGTCTGAATTACATAGTTTATTCATAGTAAAAGAGCTTTAAAAATAAAAATGTTCTCCTTTTTGAATATTTTAAATCAGGATTTTGCTTTGTTTTGGATATTATAACGTGCACTGATGAAAATTTTGATAATGTGCATTTTTATAATGTTTAATGTTGTGTAATGTTAGTTTTTATAAGGCCAAAATGGGTTTGTGACTTTCTCTGAAACCTTCTCGCATTTTCTGCAAAGAAAGAAGCGAATACACTCCTGAATTTGCCATCAGGGAAGTGATTGCTGGGAGCCTTTTGCTCTAGATGGGGCATATGCTGCTTCTATGAGTCATTCTTTGATGCAGTCTGCCTTAGATGTTGAAAGCAAACCTTCTGAAAGATAGCGTTTAATAATTGTAATAAAATACCTATGCCGTTATCAAAGGGAATGTAAATACAGCTATTTAATTATTGCCCTTGAATTCCAAAAATGAATCATACCTCATCTGTGTTCATATAGAGGTAAATATGTATAGTGGCTATATTCGGGTCATGCCCTTTTGAGAATGTGGTTTGCAACCGAGTAGGGTAAGTGGGATAATAGAACTCTGAGGTGACTTTTTTTTTATTTTGCACCGGTACAAACCCATTTCTGAACTTGCTTTTATTTTGTTATATCTGCAGTAATCCCCAGCAAGTGACTTCTGTTATGCTTTAGCTTATGGAGGCAATTGTTAAAACCTCTAAATCTTTTAGTTCTGTTCTTCAAAATGAGACTTAATAATAATCTGCTTTTGGTTTTTCGGGTGTTTTTGTTAGAAGTCCTAGTACGTAGAAGAATAAATGCAGCGTTTAACACTCTGCTTGCCACAGCTGGCAAACATGAAATTTCAAATCTCTTCATCTGTGTTTTCCCCAGGCATTCTGTTGGCGATACCAAAGTTCCATTTTGTCTTCAGTCCTGTGTAAAGCCTTTGAAATACGCTATTGCTGTTAATGATCTTGGCACAGAGTATGTGCACAGATATGTTGGTAAAGAGCCTAGTGGATTAAGGTTCAACAAATTGTTCCTGAATGAAGATGGTAAGAGACATATATATTACTTAATAATGCAAATGCTTGATTTTAGAAAATTACAAAGCAAGCTACACAAGTTTTTTTTTGTCTTTTCATTTTACTGTATCCCAAAATTTTTCATTTTAATGTGTCTCAAAATATTTTGCCATCAGCAAGGTAGGCATATCCTTTGTCACTCACTTTTGCCTAACTTAGAATGCTAGTAAAAGATGCTTTATTACTTCTCTTCTATTTGATCGTATCTACCTGTAGAAAAAAAAAAGTAATTTTGATAATGCTGGTATTCGAAAAGTATATTTATTTAGTTGAGCTGGGAGCAAGTATTCCTTAATTATGCCTTCTGTAAAGTGATGGTAAAAGAATCAAATATGTTAAATTGATTTTAAGAAACATGTATATCACTTCCCTTCTCAGCCCTCTGAGAAGCAGGTGCTGGTGCCAAAGATGAGCGCTGGCTGGTTTCCAGAAGGCGAAATTGAACACATCTTCCCACAGAGTACTTGAAACTGAATGTGGCTACTGATTCAAAACAATGTTCTTATTTTATTTTTTTTTTTTCCTGTGGCAGCAGTGCTTTAGCAAGAATTTCTCATACAGTACTTCTCTAGATTATTTCTCTTTCATCTTGTACTTATTCTCAAGCATGAAAATGTTATTTTTAAAAACACTATGGCAAAAATCTGAGAAGGATGACTCATGTAGCCTTAGAGGAAATACTGGATGTTATCTCTGAAACACAAATGTTTCTTCTAGTGGATCCTTCTCAGTTAGAGAACAGACAATGTTTCTGTTGCCATGGTATTGCAATTAATATTTAATTAACAGCATAAGGCTTAGATTATATTTTTGTTAAGGACTATATTGCATTCTAACTTAGATATCTATATTATTTATATAGAAATGATACATAATTATATTTAGTATGTGCCTTAAAATCATCACTTACAAATAAAATGGATCTTGACAATATGTATCTTCTTTTTCATTACGTTAATAGGTGGTAATGAAATACTAGCATGTACATGTGTCCAAGAGGGAATTTAGCATTTTGTCAAGCTTTGCTGTCTTGTTTTTGCTTTCCTAGTTTTTCTAATTGTGTTGTACACCGTGAAGACGACTTTCATATCTTAAGAAAGCTTTCATATAAAAAATTTGTGACGGTGCTGAGAATTGCCCATTTTTCCTTTGGATCAATATAGGTGTTAGTTTGTGGGTTGTTGTGTTTGTTTTTTAATTCTTAATGAAATGACAGAAAGTATAGTAGTTATTTCCTTCTTTTTATTGCTACATTAAAAATTGAACTACAAAACAAGATAGATTGTTAGGCTGTGGGCTTTTACTGTGTTACTGTTAGACTTTAAGATTGTTATGCAGTAAGAAAATTGGTATTGTTGAAAGTTTGACCAGCATGCATGAAATTAATAGAGGGCTAATCTACATGCTAGAAATCTTATTTTTAAGTATGTGCTTGTGTGGCTGATATAGGAAACTGACATAGGGAAAATATGTTAGAACTAACCCAAACAGCCTTTTATCTGTATAGTCCTTAAGTGAAGGACTAAAACAGAAGGTAGAAGCCTAATAAATAGGAACATTTCAGTCAGGGAGAGAAGAGGAGGAGGGAAGAAGGGATTACACTTTACTTGCAGATCTAAATTGATGTATGAAGTTTGCATATGCAGAGTATGTATGTTCAAACAGCTGAATACCTAGTTTGAAGATCAGATTTGAAAAGAAATATCTAATACAGATATTTAATCTATTTACTTTCAAATTGTTCTGATGTAGCAGAGTTTCATGCTTGTAATTGGGATTTTATGAAGTGATATGCAACCAAAAAGGTTGGAAGTGCCAGAGTATAAACACTGTAATTTGAACTTATTAGGGGAAGGGTCTAGTTTGCATATGGCATAATTGCATGGGAGGTTGCTGGAGCAATTGTGCTAATTGTCAAGCAGTTTTTTTTTCTGCTTCTATTAAAAAAATACATATTTTTCACCACTCAGTAGTGATGTACAGTGAGGACATATTTAGGTAACTAAATAAATTATATTTTCTGTTATTTTGAACTTATATATACCTGTTAAATATATTGCAGTTCTTGATGTAAAAGGCTGTTCTAGACAAGCGTCTCCTTCCCATAGGAAAAACAGCACTGTATCAGAGAGGAATATATTTACTATTCAGAGGCTGTTAGGTGGGTTGTTTATGCAAGAGGCAAATTGTTGGATCAGTGCTAGATTTAATCAGGGCACCCCACTTAAGGTTGAAGGGTTATTGTGATTTGTGCTTCTCATTAAGGATAAAAGCAGGAATTTACTCTGAAGTATGAGATGATACAGCGATATAAAAGACTTGCAGAGAAGCCGTTTATAAGATATTTATTTTTTTTAGTCTTAGCAGGTCATTGCCTTTATTATTTGATTCGATACAGAGAGTGTATGTGTGGGTTTTTAGTGATGTGTGTCAGTTATCTTTGCAGAGTTTGATAACTCTTTCTAGAGATTAATAGATGAGTTCACCTCTTTGGCAGACTGTTGCAATTATAGTATCAATCTTCTTTCCTTGTCATTGTACAGTGTGGAATCCCCTTGCTGACAGCAGTGTGAGGTAAATCAGTAGCTGCTGCGGCTTTAGGAGACCTGTGCATGACCTTACTTTAAAAATTAATGTAGTGTCAGAACCTACACATCCCTGAGAGGAGAAAAAATTCCTGAGAATGGAAGTATTATTGATGGGAATAGGAGACATCTCTTCTCTGAAGTTAACAGGAGTCTTTCAGAATGTAAGATTTCACTTGGGCATCTTAGCCCTTAAAAAGGGTTAGTATATCTTAAGTCAGTGGAGAGGTTTTTCGTTGTAGAACAGAATAGTTCAATTGGAATGGACCTACAACAATCATCTGGTCCAACTGCCTGACCACTTCAGGGCTGACTAAAAGTTAAAGCATATTATTAAGGGCATTGTCCAAATGCCTCTTAAACATGGACAGGCTCGGAGCATCAACTACCTATCAAGAGGCCTGTAGCTATTGTGGCAAGGTAGACAGGTTATCTGTCAATTAGAGATGGAAGTGTTTGGATAGCATTATCTGGTGCTCTCCAGATAATAATGAAAATTGCTTTCCTGGGACCTGGGTGCCCTACCAGGGTTTATTCTGCTTAGAAGAGGCAGCAGTGGGTTAATGGAAGGTGTCCTACTGAGCTCTGTAATGTGCTGGTGTTAGGCAGCAGTAGAAGAGACCCTCAAGGAAGAAATTTTGTTAGTGTGTTGTAAGCTGAGCTGCTGTATCAGAAGGTGGCCCCACGCAGTGGTTTGGGAGGTGCAGGTTGGATGTTAGGGTAAACTTGTCATCTAGGAGGAACAGGACGTCTAGGGAGGTAGAGGATTTGCCATGTTTGAATGTTTTCAAGACTTGATAAAGGCATGACTGACCTGATGGAACCTTGGCAATAGCTTTGCTTTGAGTGGGAGGGGAAGGAAATGACCTCCATGTGTCCTTACTGACCAGCAGTCTGTGATGCTTCGAATAGTCATTTGACTTGTCTTCAGGTTTTTGGTCCCTAAGGAGAGACAGAGTTAGGAAGCTATGGAAATGCTACATTTTTGCTACTTAGAATAGGGTTTCAGTAAAAAGTTAAATAGGTAGAACAGGGTGTTCGATATAGGTGGATCTTAAGTACAATCAGATGAAATTAGAACAATTGTTGAGTCTGCTGCAGAGAGATAAGGAATGGCACAAACAACTTCAAAAATAACATGTAGACACTAGTTTGTATTTTAGGTGAACTTTAGGTATTGGTCTTACCTTTTCACTAACAGGATAACTCTATTATTATTTTTTAAAGTTCCTTTTAATATTGGCTTTCTGAAAAATACAACAAGGAACTTGAGATGATTAGGTTTTGGAGACTATCTGATAGTCATAGATGGCTAAGTGCCATTGACCGTGACCAGGGTAATTTTCCTGGGAAAATATGTGTGTGTACGTACTGTGAATATCAGACTGACCTCTCAAAAGCAATCACCTCAAGTTCCCTTTAGCGTGCATGTGTATTATATAGAAAAATAGCAAACTCTTTGTGGGTTTGTTTTTTTGTTTGTGGTTTCTTTTTTTAAAATTTTTCTGAATTTGGTGATAAAGTAACAGCAAATTAATATTATGACAGATTTGAATTCTTTTTATGTATTGAGAATTGCTTGAGGTTTTCAGACATCAGAACCCTCAAAAATCAATATCCTAGTTAGAAGGCACAGCAAAAATATTAGTTAAAACTAAACAAACTGTAGGAGGTAGATATTGAGGAATGAAAACTTGTATATGGGAGAAGTAGATAGCTGATAAGGAAAGCTTTTATTTTATTTTATTTTATTTTTTTTGAAAAAGAAGAAAGGAAAAAAAAAGGTGATTCTTTCACATGAGCAGCCAAGAATGACTGGGAATGCAAAAATACTCTTAATATAGAGATCAGTGTTAAGAAGAAAAACCTGTGTAGCAGGTATATGCAAGTCAATTATAAAATAAGGTAAATTCTAGAGAGGATGAATAAATTGTTCTTTGTATTTCAGCAGCTGACAAAAGAAACATCTGATTCTTAAAAAGAATCAAGATTTTGTATTTGTGTACAGCAATAAGGAAATTCAAGAACTCTAATTCTCTTTTATTTTAAAGGACTTGTTTGAGCACTTCTAAAATCACTGAGACTTGGTAACTTGGAGAAAAACTGGAAAGCCCCTTAGGGGTTGTTCCACTTGCAAATGTTGCATTGATCAAATCTTGAAACACTGGAGAGGATTGAATATTTTCGTTAAAAGAAATGGTGCCTAACTTATTCATTTACTGGACTGTTAAGTAGCATTAGGCTGAGTTCTAAGCTGTAAAATACTTTGCTCAGATTTACAAAAAATTGTATATAATGTTGGATTACAGTATTTTTAATTTAGGATTATATTCCACAATCATAGCTTTAAGTCATACATTAATATTTACCATTTTTCATTTAAACACTTGACTAGTTTTGTTTGACAAATGTGTCTTGGGATATATTGGTAATTGAAAACTGTATTTCACAGACAGGCCTCATAACCCTATGGTGAATGCTGGAGCAATTGTGATCACGTCTTTAATCAAGGTAAAAAGTTCTTTTTTAGTTTCTCTCAAAGTATTTGAATAGAATGTAGAAAAATTATCTTGTACAGATTATGAACTGTTTTCATTTTATGTGTACAATATCTGATGGTAGTTTACTCATTAGCAGCTAGACAAGCTCTGATGGTTTGTAAACAGTAACATTTCCAAACAAATGCAATATTAGACTAGCAATTTTTAAAAAGTAACAGTGCAGCTGAAAGACTCTCTTTTTCCTTAGTGCTTTTACTTTTAATTTGTTTCCTTCTTTAACTGCACAACACTCGATACTCTCTTGAGAGAGTTGCCTCCTACTTGTTAAATGCTAAGAGTATGTCCTCAAGAATGTATTTTATAGCAGTCAAAAATATGTTTCTGAATGTCTAATGTTCTTATATAGCATAAAGTTACAACAGTATTTCTCGCTGTACAGAAGAAATGAAGATGCTAGAATTTGTACAGGAGCAATGCGATTATATTCGCATGTCAGTCTTAATACGGAATTTGTCCACTGTTAATGTACTCTACAACTAAATTATGTTTAACTTCTGTGTTCCGTAGTTTCTGTTGGAGTGTTAAATGTGTTTTCTTGAATAAGTGTATTTAGAAACAGTTACCTGTATATTGCTGAGTAAACCATAGCTGAATAATGACTTAACATCTTTAGTCATTGATCTTGCAGCTTTTGGAAAGCTGTATTTTACTTTTCCTTAAATTAGCTATATATATATATATGTATATATCGAGTTGTAAGTGGCATAAATTCCATGTAATGCTAATGTTTGCCAGATGCTTCACTTGCATTTTCTGCCTTTTTTTGATAGCCACTGATTAAAAAAAAAATAAAAAATTAAGGGTACTTGCTTAGAATTGTGGGGAACATGTCAGTCCCCTGGAGTTTTGAAGTAAAAAACTTAATACTGTTACTTCAGAGGTCTAAAAGTCTTGCTTACAGCCTTTGAACTGGTTATGGTTCAAAGTCCATTAGCTACAGTGTGTTTCCTACCTCCTATTTCCAAATTGTTGATTTTAAAATTACTAGATCATGATTTTCTGTTATTTTATATTTAAAGAAGGTGTAAGAACTCCTGCTTAAAGACATTTATCTTTAATAGCTGTAGGTGAAAGAAAATGGCCTTAAGTATGACAGGTAAATTTATTCACATTTAATATTTTTTTAAAGGTTGACTGAGCATTGAAATTCACTTGGATAATAGTGAATTTTAAAATCTGACTTAACACATTTGTCTGAACTGTCAAAATGTTAGTCCTAGTACAACATGCCCTACTGGTCCTAAGACAAAACACAAGCATGTGCCTCTTGCAGAAGGCACATAGTTCTTGATAAATGGTGTACTTCTAAATAGATAATATGGATTTGTTTACTGCATGCAACTGTGGTATTTGTTAGAAGGTTGGGGGATTGTTTTTGCTGGGTGTTTTTTTTTTTTTTTTTTTTTTGCTGTAATGTTCTTATGAAAAGTATTGCATTACATTGATGTTTTTGCATGTAGTAACTGGACATCTACTGGACCCATATCATACTTATCACACTCCATTATTTGTTATCGGTGTGATTAAAATGTAGATTATTTTATGTACTGCTTCCACTAAGATACCATTTATCATTTGAATAACTAACCATACTAAACATATTCTGAAGAAAATTGCATAGAGGGTCACAGGTACAAAGTTACTTAGTAGGTATATATTTTATGAAATAACTTCTTTGCGATCTGGAACTTAACAATACTCCTACTAACTACTCAGTGACTTAAGTCACATTTATATTTGATCTAATTTAAGACTGACTTTTTTTCTGGAAGAGGTGACTTTGTTAACCCATGCTTTGCCCTCAGTTCCTCTGCATTCATGCTGTTTATTTAAGGTGTCATTTGCATATCTTGAAGGCTGTGTATGGCTCCTAGAGTCCAAGAAAATTAAGTGACTGTTAAACATGGTCGAAGTCACAGATATATCAGATGATAGCATGTTGATATCTATGGAGAGATTGTTGCTGCATTTCAGTGTTAAGAATGCTCTTACCGCCTTTGACATTCATTATTTTATCTCTTTCTGAGAAATTGATATGTCTTTCAAAGTTTACAGACATTTTACTGAATTTAGTAGTTGCTAGTATACATGATCTTGCACACAACTGTCCTTAGAATCTGACATAAATTATGATTACTTGTGGGTAAGAGATGACACCTGGAATAATCTTTTTGTCAGAATATGTAATATGTTAACATTTTAGGAGGGGGAAAAGGCTTCTTAGCATCACATACTCGGTTTTGACAGCATTAAGAATTTGGTATATCCACCACAGAACAGAGCATAGACCTAAACTGCAATGTTATGTTTAATGTTGCTATTCAGAAAAATAAAGCATGTTAAGTTGTACGTTTGGGTGGTTTACTTAAGCATGACTATATCATACTTTTACCACTTAAATGATTCTCCTGCTGTTATGCTTGAAACTACGATGTATTTACATTTTGGTGCCTTAACTCACGGCTCTGTTCTAACTGACTTGCATTACACAGACTGTTCCAGCAATTTAAAGCATTTATCTACAATAAAAATCCTTTAGCAAAAGGACGTCCTGTGGGCCAGTTTTAATGAAATAAAATTTTCGAAAAGCCCTAAGGACCTCTTCCCTTGTTTGTAATTGTACAGCCATTTCCCTTTATTACTAGTTGAATAAATTGCATAGTTACAACAATTATCAAATAATTGTTATAAAAAGAAAATTGTAGTGGCAATTACAGAATTTTGTAGAAAAGTAATATTAGATAAAACGATAAATTCTTCCATGTCTCCAGGGGAAAACAGGTGCTTGAAAGAAGAAGGTTTAGCTCTAGTACAGATTGAGTGCTCTGTAACCATGCAGCTTTCTGTACGTTACGTTGACTAGGAAAAGTCTTTATTGCCTGTAGTATGGATGGATTTTATTGCTCTGATCTGTTGTTTTTTCTTAAACCTTAAACTCAATTCTCAAAGTGTGTCAAGTCCAGGAATATCAGTGGTTGTGTCAACAATTGCCCACTTCTATGTGTCTTTACTGGCTGGGGAGGGCAGTACGTTAGAGGTGCTAATGAGAGGAAGAGGAAGGGTTCAGAGTAGAAGGCAACAGAGGGCCGTGGAAGGAATCACCAGAGAACAAGGGAATTATCTTAAGCCATTTTTATTGTATGCTTCAAGATTCCACCTGCAGATGCAGAAAGCTCTCCTTGTGTAACAGCAAAGGTGTGGGCAAATGCAGTGTGTCTAAGTCCTGTGGGTGCTGACAGCCACATGCACCATCTTACGCAGATGGTGACGATCGACTTGGATTTTCAGTATTCTATGCCAGTGAATTGACGTGGGAAGCATTTAGATATGTTTGAGGGCATAGTAATGTTCATAATCCTTGCAAAAAAATGTGGTTTATGGGAAGATGATAATGCTGATTTTATTGACCCTGAAAAAAACTTAATTCGATGAAAGCTTTTCTTTTTTTGTCCAAAACATAGAATCGTAGAATTGTCCAGGCCAGAAGGGACCTCCAAAGGTCATCTAGTCTGACCTCCCCGCAGCCAGCAGGGACACCCCCAACTAGACCAGGTTGCCCAGGGCCTCATCGAGCCTCACCTTGAGTATCTCCAGGGCATGGGCAACCTGTTCCAGTGGTCCTCCACCCTCACAGTAAAGAACTTTCTCCTCATCTCCAATCTAAATCTGCTCCCCTCCAGCTTAAAGCCATTGCCTCTCATCCTGTCACTACAGGCCTTTGTAAACAGGCTCTCCCCGGCCTTCCTGCAGGCCCCCTCAGGTACTGGAAGGCCGCTATTAGGTTTCCCCGGAGCCTCCTCTTCTCCAGGCTGAACAACCCCAGCTCCCTCAGCCTGTCCTCATAGCAGAGGTGCTCCAACCCCCTGATCATCCTCGTGGCCCTCCTCTGGACCTGCTCAGGTCCATGTCTTTCCTATATTGAGGGCTCCAGACCTACACACAATGCTCCAGGTGAGGTCTCACCAGAGCAGAGTAAAGCAGAAGAATCACCTCTCTTGACCTGCTAGCAGTGCCTCTTTTGATGCAGCTCAGGGTATGATTTGCCTTCTGGGCTGCAACTGCACACTGCCTGCTCATGTACAGCTTCTCATCCACCGGGACCCTCAAGTCCCTTTCCTCAGGGCTGCTTTCTAATACCTCACCCCCTAGTCTGTACTGATGGCAAGGATTGTTCTGGCCCAGGTGCAGAACCTTGCACTTGTTGAACCTCATGAGGTTCACCTGGGCCCACCTCTCCAGCCTGTCCAGGTCAAATAACGACGTCTATCTGAGATACTTGATATAGCTTTCTAAATAGACTTGATATACTGATACAGCTTTCCAAATATGCTGATAAAGCATAAAATAAATGAGGCAGAGTGGTAGAAAAACCTCTCCAGCTGTGCCAAGGGTTCTGTTTGCTGTGAGGATGCAGTTAATTAGGAAACCTATACAGTTATAGTCTAATACTTGAGGGGTGGGAAAGTGCATGGTTTATTGGATTTACTTGACAACATAGTTACAATGAATATTAGATTTAGCTTAATTGATACATGCTACCCACTCCAGTTATCCTTCCTGTTAACCTGATGTGTAAATATACATACATACAACTTCAAAACATGTGTTGACATTGTGATCTCCTCTGTCAGATACTTGTCTTTTTGTTGGTGGTTTGCTCTATTCCTGGGTTATTAATTTTCTTTTAGTAGCTAATTTTGCATAGAACATATGTTCACTTTATTCTGCACTTGCTTTTTGTTGCAACTCAAATGTATTGGATGTTATTTGCCATAGAATATGGAGCAGTGATACTTGAAATGACATGTATTCGGTGGTAACATGCAAGTATTTAATACCTGAAGGACAACAAAAATAACTCTTACGTGTATTTGAAATAATAATAGTATTGATCTTAGTGGGTCAAATACTGTCTGTGACAGTGTGCTCTCAAGTATTTCAGAGCTGAAAATGGCACGCTAAGCAATTCAAGACACCAGTTCTCACAGAACAGGCCCAGATTAAGAAATAAAATTTTAATAGTGTGTAAGTACAGAAAACTAAAATAAAGACATTAGTAGTTAAGTTAATGTAAAATGCACAAATGTAAAAAAAAAAATGTTTTCTTGCCCTCTGACATAGCGTTATTTCTTTTTTTCTGGATGTTTTCATCGTGGTATAGTGTTAGGTTATACATTTGGATTTTAAAAAATCCAGAAGTTAATTTTTACACCATCTTCTATTGTTAGAAGATTATAAACCTCTCATGATCCAGGTGTTTCTATTAGCTTGGCCTAGATTCAAAATTGAAAAATTATTTTAATAAGAGACACATGGTAAGAGCTTATGTGATCTGACTGTGTAAACATTGAATGTTGATCAATGAAAAGTGGCTAATATTAACTACTTTTCTTATAAATATTGCCTAATTTTGTTGTTGCAAGCTCTGGTAAGTATCCATGGGTCTCTTCTTTCCTATGTACATGTAGGCATGCAACCTATGCAACTGCTTATGTTTTTTTTTAGTAGAAATATAAATAGTAGAAGTACTTTGTTTTTAAAGTTAAAAAAAAAAAAGGAAAGATCACTGAAACATGACATAGACAAAAAATTCAAATTTATGATTGACAGCCATAGTGTCCATTGTGGTTTTAAGTGTTTACAAAATTGTATTGAGCAGTCTTCTGCAAGTTTAAATTTTCTGCCTATCAAACTGCTGCAATCTTAACATTTCCAATTTCATTTTGTGTTCATTTAGAAGTGTTTTTCATATGTATATACACACAAGCATGTATACAGTAAGTGTGTATATGAACATATGTTCCAGTACATGTACTAAGTGTTTGTGGAGTTAGTGCATGGAATGTTTCCTTTGATGTCCTAGGTAGATGAATTGCATCTGAACTTAAATAAAAGTGCTTTTTAAGAAATAATGTTTTGGTGCCCCCAAACTTGTAAGCGTATAAAATCAAGCTAAAAATGAGAAGCAGTTGTGCAAGAACAGAAGTTTTGTTGTCTGTTTAAATTATTATGGCAAAGTTGCTCAGTATTCTTTATGTTAAGATTTTATATTTGCAATTGGATTTTAATCATAGAATGTGTGTTGCCTCTGTGTCTCTTCAGCTTTTTTAGGAGGAGCAGCAAACCTCTATCGGCTGCTGAAAGAGGGGAACTAATATGTTGGGTTTTTTAGTCGTCATCTTGTGTATGGAAGCAAAGTTTTCTCTTCTAGTTATGCGTTATGTTAAATCTGTACTGAAAATCTTGGTCATATGATTACTTAGGCAAATATTTTAGGTATACGAGCACTCTAATTTCAGTAATTATGTTTTTGTGTTTTGGTATAAAGTACCTATACAAGTGTGTGGAACATCAAGGACTAAAAATGCACCGAGTTAGTATACAGAAGATTTCCATCCCAAAATACTAGATTAGATGTACATTTTAAAAAGAAACCTTTTTTTGTAACAAGTTGATGTGGAAAATTTTGCATTGAGTCTTTTGCCCATCAATTTTATATGCTGCTACTAAAGCCAGGCTTTTGTTGAAGGACTAGGAATTTTTTTTCAACTGGGCAAAAAAAAAAAGTATTATGTATTTACATTTTTGCAGAAAGCATGATCCTTTTCTCCCTCTTTCTTTTTTTAACAAAAGAACTTGCTTCAATTTATTATACGTGTCTAACCATACAATTATCAATGCAGCATCCCATAACTAATGCTGACCCACTTTCCCAGAAAAAGATGTTCATTGTGCATTTGAAAGGTTGAAAAGGTTTTTGTGGTTTAAATGTTGTTACATATTTTACAGCATTAGGATCTATGGAATATTTTGACAACTGCAACAGTTCAATGAAGTTGGTAATTTCTTCTTTTAATTATTTTTCATTGAACAGATTTGGAGTTAAATTTTTAAGACTTGTGTTCTGGTATATTATACAGGAACATTTTGCTGAAATGTATCATGATTTTTTTTTTTTTAATCTTATTGCAAGTTAGCTAGAGACTGACTTTAAAGCTATTAGCCTTTAGGCATAAGGTAACCACTGGCACATAATTTTGGCAGAACAGTGTGGTGTTCCTTTCAGCTAGTGATCGTACGTGTACGACTGCGCATCCTCTCGTAGATGAGCTGATGCACGGGCTTCAAAGATTATCGGCAACACCCTAATCTGCATACAGAGTGGGAAATGAGACTGGCTTTATGCATTTCACTAAGTAAATACTGGTTGATATAAAGCTTCAGTTTTTTTCCACTTCCTTTCCCATTCCCATACTAAACAGTGCAGGTAGCGTCTTGGGCTGTTTGAGATACATTACATGGAGTTTTGTTATCTAAATACAATATCTTTAATTTTAAAATACCTTCTCCAGATGCATTGTTTCCACTTGTGTATGTGATGCCACTGTTTGTTAAACTTCCTGAAAAAATTTTACTTGGCTACTTAAAAATTAAAAATAATTATTAAGAACTCCCTCCCAGTAGACCATGTGCTATTTTTTTACCTCCCACCCCTCTTTCAAGGTCTTGCTATAAGAATTTGTGGAAGGTCACCTGTCAAAGACCTGTAAAAAGCTGCCATTTTTAACTGGCAGCTGCTAAATTTGAGAATGGGGTGGGGGAAGCCCCAAAATAACACCCCTTGTCCTCCCAAAAATCCCAAACCAACCAACCCTAAGAATTAAGTTTCACTAGCATCCTTATTAAGTTGGTTTTAGATTTTTTTTCCTTATATTGTTAGCACAATGACGTACTCTATGATGTGAAATTCTATTTTTCTAACTATCTAATTTTTAATAGGTATGACATTAATCGGATATTAATCCAATCAGATATTTTTGATTAAATGCAATTATTTTCATAGTAAGGGGTAACACTTTATTTTAAGTCTTCAATCTAAATTCTTAGAATGGGCGCTAGCCATGGAAATATTTTAACTTCAGTAGCTTGAACTTTCCTATGCTCAGCTGTGTTGGTAATGTAAGAATACCTTTGGGTTACTAATCTGTAAAGAGTTAGTGTTTTCATTATAATTATCCTGATTGTAGTTACTTTTGTATTTTTTGCTTTAACTACTACATTTACTTATGCTAAACACGTAAAGTTGAATAGAGAGCACTTAAAATAAAGCATACCTTTTTCAGTTTAAATTCATTTCCAACATACAGGTGTTTGATAAGACTCTTATAGGATTATTTAATTTAAATTATAATTAAAGATTTACTTATCTAACACTTTAATTTTTCATTAATATATGAAATGATTGTAGTACCTTATTCTTAGTTAGCCTCATAACTTAGTTATATGCATTAAAAATCCTAATACTGTTAAGTGAACTTATGTCTGTCTTATGTTAACAATTTTTGTAAATTATTTTTTCTTTTTTTGCAGCAAGGAGCAAATAACGCAGAAAAATTTGACTACGTAAGTTAATGTTACAACATTCCTTTTTTAACTAAATTCAGTGGTAAAAGTTTCAAGGTAGCAAGGGAATTGCAAGTGAAATTTAATAATTTCAAATGGCTTGTTTTTTTATCTGTACTTGGTTGTTTAAACGTTTAGTGTGTTGTATTGCATCTGTAAAATTGTGTTACAAGATTTAGGGTAAGGCTGGATTGAAATTTGATTAATTATAACTTTTTAATGTCTGAAAACGTTAGCATGCTTTTCCCTTCCTCCTCCCTGTCTCTAACAGGTGATGCAATTCATGAATAAAATGGCTGGTAATGAGTATGTTGGATTCAGTAATGCTACGTAAGTATTTTTTATTTACTTAATGAAGTTAGATGGAAAATTATAGTTGGCAGTTGCCAACTGATACTTGGCATATTGAGTTTATGGAAAAGTTCAGTTATTTACATTGAAACCATCATTTCATCCCTAATGTTTGAGAGTGTCTGACTTAAAATTTACAAGAACTGAAGTTGTGCATGTCTCTGACATCAGTGTGGCTATATCTCACATAAAAATGTTGGTTACCTCTTTGAAACATTATTCTGTCTTGGAATACTCTGTGCTCAGTACTCTGGTACTATGGCAGAGAGAGCTGTAAGTGCAACTCTTGCTTTCCTGGCATTCATGTTAAAGAATTAAACTCTGCATGTTGATGGTTGCGTATGAAATATTCAGAAAGCATGCTTTATACAATTGGGACTCTCTTTATGCTTTTTTTGTTTTGCTGATTTAAATTCTTTTCTAAAACAATTCCCCAAATCTTGTGAGCTTTTGGAGGCAGCACTGGGTAAATTATAAAGATTCCATATAACAGAGTAGTTTCTAGGTTGCTAGCTGGACCGCAGGTGTGGAGAAGCAGAATGAGATATCTAGTGTTTCTCGTGAGGTTTGTTAATGTTCAAGTGTTTACTGTGGAAGGAAACAGACAGGTGAGAATTACCTACCCTTGTATGCACATAAAGATTCCTCCTTTAGGCTTTATCCTGAACTTAATTGTCACAATAAACACTGCAGCCATCAGTCTGGTTGATGTTTGGCCTGCAGCTTCATCATCAGGTTCCTCTCTAGTTTGGTCGGCGTCGGCAGGGAATGATGGTTTCACTACAGCTGCTTGTGAGGTGTTTCATTCCACTATGGCCTCTCCAGAAACGCTTCTAAAAGTAGCATCTTATTGCCTTATCTCCAAGTCTGCTTATGTATGTGTGGGTAAGAAGTGCTGTGTGTTATTTGGATGTCAGAGCTAATTCACTCCAACTGGGTGTACTGGGGTGAGCTTCTATGGTGACTTCTGTCCTGTTAGTAGAATGTTTGTGTTCAGAAGTAATTTATCCTTTCCATGCAGTGTTACTGAATTACATTACGTGTCTCTGAAGTTCAACGGTTTTTTGAAAGTTTTACATGTTGCCTTGTCTCATTTTTACTTTTTTTTATTATTTTAAGATTCCAGTCCGAAAGAGAGAGTGGAGATAGAAACTTTGCAATTGGCTATTACTTGAAAGAAAAAAAGGTTGGTCTCTTGTTTATTGTATTCTGAAGACTGTATGGTGGGGGTTTTTCATAGTCTGTGAAGATTTTTGATTTATTTTATGTACAGTATGGCAGAAGTTGCTGTCATTTATAGTGTGATACTTACCCTAATACAACACGTGTTATCTCTTTTCTGTATCATAGCCATGATAATTTGTTTTATTTCTTTTAAAATGCATAATCTGTATTGTACAGATGACTTTACAAAACTCCTAGATGCATTTTACAGTTTACTGATCTAGAGATGTTGAAAGCTGTGGTGAAAAATACTTGAATACCTTGCTCAATGACCTCACCGCACTGTTACTTTTAAATCTGACATGATTTAATATTTCTACTTGTTACATTTAAATAAATATTTAATTTAGAATCTTAAATATAAATGCTTAATATGCTGACAAGAATATTGCTTGATTTATGTATCCCTAAAAGCAGTATTTAAAAAAAAAAATAAGAAAAAATCACAATTTTACCTAAAGACTCTATTTTTCTTTCTCAGTGCTTTCCTGAAGGCACCGATATGGTTGCTATACTAGACTTCTATTTTCAGGTAACTGACTTTAAAATTGAGATTCATTATAGACTTAGAATTACTATTATAAGCAGTAGAAGCTGATTTGTTCATAGATATGAAGGCTTTAATGGGTTATAGTTAAACTTGTCAGCTTCTGTTAAACTCTGCTTGGAAATGAATGATGTATATTTGATGTATCCAGATTTGCTATTGTTAAGTGATGCACTTAGGTGTCTTTATTGCTAATGCAAACTAGCAATAGACTTTAAAACACTAGTAGTTAGAACCTTAAAATGTCTTGTATTACTTCAGTGAGTTTGACAAAATATTTCTGCTTCTTTGGGTTGCTGCTCTTTATTGTACTGTGAAGGACTTGAAACTCTGTGTGTAACTAAAATAGTATGTGCATGCTCTATTGTAAGCTCAAGGGTAGTGTTATAAATGAAATAATATGAATATCTCCTCCTTTTTGTTTAATTCAATACTTATGAGTAAAACAAAGAATCGAGTCATATATTCTCCCCTCCCCCATTTTTTTTTCTTTTTCACTTTCAGCAAGTTATTTGCAACTGTCACAAAATGAGAACTTGCCAAGTGTGAGGTATTTCCTCAGTAAGGGCTTCCTAATGTTCAGCTCTGCTGCATGTAGTTCTCAAGAGGCAGTTCAAGTTGTGTTACCGATTCAGTCCATCTGGGATAGATTAAAAAGAAATCCAGAGTTTAGTTCTCAAAACGAATCTGGTTTTGATTCATGAGACTTGCTTTTACTTATGCAAATTATAAACAGTATTTTTTTTAAATGCAAATTTTATCTGATTCTTTTTTTATTGGGACGCACCTGCTCTAATCTTTGAATGAAATGAGTGTTTATGAAGCAAGGTATATGAGACTAGCCTTAGCTGACCTCTTGTTGAGTTGGAACCAGGTACAAGTTAATAGTCTACTCTGAACTTCTGTCATTAGAGAACAAAACTGATAACTTATTTGAATTGACTCTTTAAACGTGTTTTTTAAACGCTTCCTATCCCACTGCCTCAAGTCCTGATACACTTCTGAGTGCAAGGCTATTCATAGTTTAAGAAATGCCAAAACTAACTTTTCTGATGTATTTTGATTTGGCCTCATATTAGTGCATTATGACCTCTGATTTCATGACTACGTCATTCTGGTTTGTTTTTTTTTTAATTCCACCTTGCAAAATCCCCTTTTTCACTCCATACTTGGGAAAGAGCAGCTCATACACGAGCAGCAATTCTATTTTCTTTTCTTCTCATTGTACACCACTTAATTTCCAACACTCAGATTCTACTTAGAAGCCTAGTTATTTCTTCTCTTTGAGTTTTCTGTAACGTTCCTTCCCCCATTGTGTAACTGGGAACTTTCTGAACAGGAATAAACTTGTTTTCCTATTGTCTCTGTAAAGTGAGGACAGATTATTCTTATTTTAGAGAACCGAGGTACAAAATGCAGGCGCTTAAACTGAGAACCTAGAAACACTTTTTTCAAAGTAGGTGATATTATGTAATACTTCATATGTTTAAAACACAGTTGCCATTTTAGATGCGTCTCTGACAATCTCTTGATTTGCAACTCCAGTTGATTGGACTAGGATGTATTGAGTTTGGCACCCGGAAAATAAGAATTCCAGGTAGTAACCACTCATGCAAACTTGGCGTAGGTAACTTCATGAAAGTATCATGTAATGACTGTTTGGCAGAAGCAAGAATACAAGCACTAGTCTGTTTACTTTTCAGAGTAGCATTTCAGGTTGAAACCAGCTTATCTTTTGGTTTCTACAGAAATGAGGCAGCATCAGGTGATGGCATCACATCACATTTCCTGATGTGTCACCAAAGTATGTATAGTCTGTACTGAAGCAGGGATCCTGGGAGAAACTTATCGTATGGTTGTATCATTAATGTATCAGAAAGTATATATGAGAGAAAGGTGAAATAAGGCTGCATCAGCAGGAAGTGCTGGCATTAAAACTTGCATGTGCTAGAATTTGCAGCTTTAAAATATACTTTTAATAGATACGTGTGGTCTTCTAAGGCTTAACTAAAAAAAAACCCACACAAAACAAACTCAAATTGAACAAAACAGTCATTCTGTGGCTTTGCCATTTAAGCAGATGCAAAATACTGAGATTGTTTTCCAGACCTTTTCTTCTCAAAGGAAAATAATGGGGGGCGGGGGGAGGAATCAAGTGAAGACACTAACCTGTGTAAAATACTATCCCAAACTATTAAGAGGGCTTACAAACACTGTTGCTGGGATCTTTATACTAGGAAGATTCAGACCATATTAGTTGATGCTACTAGCATCACCTGTAACAAATGTTATGCTACAAGTTATTTTATGAAATGTTATTTCTGTAGAGTCATGTTATTGATCCTGCTTTATTGTGCTAGAATCATCTGTTCTTATAATCTCAATTTCTTTTTCATAAGCTTTGCTCAATAGAAGTAACGTGTGAGTCGGCAAGTGTGATGGCAGCAACTCTGGCTAATGGTGGCTTTTGCCCGATCACTGGTGAGAGAGTACTGAGTCCTGAAGCAGTCCGGAACACCTTGAGTTTAATGCATTCCTGTGGCATGTATGACTTCTCAGGGCAGTTTGCCTTCCATGTAAGTAATTTTCAGATATTAATTATACTGACCAGGAAGATTAATCTGTGCTATTGTTTCCCATGTTCCAGGGCTGGCTTGCTTCTGAGGTAGGGGAGAGGGCATTACATTAATTGTTTAGAAATTGACTAGTAGACCATACCTTTTGGTACTTGCTCTTCTCTGCCACTTCATGTTTGAGAATCCTTTTCATGTTGAAAATTAAATACTGTCCTTTAAGAGCTTGTTCATGAGAGAAACAGGTGATTGATGCAGATGCTACTGGAAACAGCATAGCTGAAGAAATCTTGCTATATGGGAGTAAAGGATGGCAGAAAGCCTTTGCAGACAGTTGCTTTTTCACCATTAACTCAGGCTGTTTAATGAATTATTCTCATGTGCTGTAGAAGTGGCTGTCATACACAGCATATGTACCGTGCTTCTATTTTCCAGCAGTTACGTTTCTTATATATATGAGTATCTCAAGTTGTACTGCATCTTATTTTTGTCTTCAGCATTTTGTTTTGAGTGTTTTTAGTTTTTCCTCATTGCATACATGTAAAACTGATTATGCCTTGTGTGACTTAAAGGTTATTGCTTACTGGGCTATGGGGATACGTGACATGTTAGTTCCTACTGGAAAAAAGGAATACCTTTATCCAGATTGTAAATATGTAGGCTATTGTGTGGTTTTTATGGTTAAGACTCTTCTGTTTTCTTGGGGTTTTGTTTTTTCCTCATTGCATACATGTAAAACTGATTATGATGCTTTGTGTGACTTAAAGGTTATTGCTTACTGGGCTGCGGGGATATGTGACATGTTAGTTCCTATTGGAAAAAAGGAATACTTTTATCCAGATTGTAAATACGTAGGCTATTGTGTGGTTTTTATGGACAGACTCTTCTGTTTTCTTGGGTTTTTGTTTTCACCTTTTCCAATCAAGGTTTTTTTAATGTATACAGCTTTGTACTACTCTCTTGTTGCAAACTGTTTGTGACAGATACAATTGTGTACTACCGCTTAGTCATAATTGCTTTTTTTATAATAGATTTGAATTATCTCTTTCACTGTATTACTGACTCCCTGTGTTTCTGAGAGCAAATGAGTTTATGATCGCGTAGCTCGGATTGCCGCAAACTGTGCTTCAGGTTACTGTCTATCTAAAAAGAAATAACTAGTAATAATTTCCCAGTTGAAATTACTTTCCAATGCTACATAATAATCTTAAGTAAAATCCTGGTGCATTGTGTTACAATAGTGAAGAATATTTGCAGAGGACAGTAATTCTCTAATTTTTCTATAGGTTGGTCTTCCTGCAAAATCTGGAGTTGCTGGTGGGATTCTTCTGGTTGTTCCTAATGTCATGGGCTTGATGTGCTGGTCACCTCCTTTGGACAAGATGGGCAACAGTGTTAAAGGAATTCATTTTTGTCATGTAAGCAGCATTCACTTTAGTGTTTTGGTTTCGGTTTGTTGTTTTTTTCTTTTTCTTTTGCTTCAGTTAGTATTGCTGAGATCTAACAATTAAATAGTGATTAATTACTCTTCCATGCATAGCAAGATTCATCTGATCCAAGGGTGAACAGTCAATAAAAGATGTTTGAATTTTAGTAATAATTAACACTAATTCAGTGCAATGCCAAAAGCACTGGAGAATTTAATTGTAGAAAAGCTTTGAAATGGAACACTTCATGAAGTAGCAAAGGAGCTGGTCTTTCTGTATGCTGCATTAGAAGCTGTAGAGCTTTATTTAAGACTACTTTTCCTTGCCAGTCATAAAGGAAACAATTTTCAGAACATTGGAAATGCAACTCTTATTTCATGACAATAAAAGAAAAAAAGATTCCATGAAATATTGCTGCTCTGATATATTTTTTTTTAAACAGACATTTTTGAATAATCTGACCTAAAAAAGGTCTTCATACATCACACCCTGTTGTGTTTTTCCTAGCTTTGTCTCTTGCTTTTGAAAGGGCTGTGAATAATGAAGGTGCTTTGTGCGAGAGGAGAATGGTTGTGGGGTTTTTTAGTTTGGTGTGGGTTTTTTTTTTCTGAACCCCAAAAGCCACAGAAAAACAAACAAACATAAAAACCCCACCTTTTTCATTTTCTCCCCAAACCCACGTTGTGATACTGATTCAGTAATAAGAAATGGGGGGGAAGTCTCAAAAATGAGAATAGTAGGCTATCTAGATCCCAGTAGGAAATGTAATTTTATTGGTAATGCACTGGAAGTTGAAGGCATAACAGGCTTTTTCTTGTTGGTTTTTTGTTTATTTGTGGTTTTGTTTTGTTGTGTGTTTTTTGGTTTTTTTTTTGGTTTTTTGGGTTTTTTTTTTTTTTTGTTTTTTTGTTTTTTTTTTTGGTTTTTTTTGTTTTTTTTTTTTTTTTTTTTAAGTAGTGATAACAGTTAAGCTGCAGTGGTACTAGTTTGGATGAACTTCAGTTCCTGGGGTGAAGACTTGTATGTCTTCACTTAGTTTATTGATAACAGCGTGGGATTCACAGTATGCAAGGGTTTAGTTCATGTGGATGAACAGCAGTTAAAACTGTTCATACTTCTATTTATCTGACATCTGTACAGCTGCAAAGTAAGAGTACTAAGAAGTTACTAACTGTAGTTTAAGTGCTTTGAGACTGTTCATATTAAATAGTCTTGTACTTGATAATATAAATATAAAATCATAGAAACAATAGATAGGTGAGAGATTTACTGCAGTTATAATAAGACCTAAAAACTGATAGATCATCATGGCACACAAGTAATATGTAACATTCACTTTTAAAAATACAACAGCATAGCAAAGTTCTGTAATTGCAACATTTCATATTGTAATTCAAAGTGAACTAAAATCAATTGTCACACCTTCTCTTGTTTTATTCTTTTGATTGAATTTAAAAGTTTAATGTAGTAGACTAATCCAGACTATTCTTTCTGTTCCTGAAATGTTTAATACAATGGGAGTAGAAATATATTAAAACAGATATTTTGCAAATTGCTACCTGTTTTGTACTCCTTTTGAAAGGAGTTTAAAGGTGTTGTTAGAACTTAGTCATATCATTGTGTTATGTTCAAAAGACCTTACCAACATTGGTACTAAATTATTAAATATGCTTCTCTTATGATTGATTTAAGTTACTAGGGTGTAATGTAAAACATAAGTGGTAGTATTATTGCAATCTCATATGCATTTGACTATCTTATACAAATAATAATGTATGTTCTGTAAATATTTGCAGGATCTGGTTTCTTTGTGCAATTTCCATAACTACGATAATTTGAGACACTTTGCAAAAAAGCTTGATCCTCGCAGAGAAGGCGGTGATCAGCGGGTAAGTTAATGTGTGTGCTTAGTGAGTATTGCTTCTAGACATCACAAGTACAGAAAGTTCTTCTTTAAGTGCAAAACTGCTCAATGACATGTATTGCATCAAAGCTTTCAAATAAACTTGTTAGCTTTACTAGTGGACACTTACCTGGGTGGACCACACTATCACAGGGGTTTGTCTAGTAGAATTTCATATTAGATTTGTGACTCCCATTTCATGCAGTTCATCTCCCTTGCTAAAGTAAATATACAGCATCTGATAAAAGTGGCAAGGAGTTTTACTGTTCTGGTTGCCTTTAATAAAGATTTGACCAGCTGGTGGGCTTAGCCTTTCTGTTTTGTGCTGCAATCAATGCATGAGATGTCTGTTTAGCATTTTTTCACAGTGATATCTCTGAGGCCACATGACTTGCTGGGAGTTGCACAGGCAGTGAATTCAGGTATTATATTGCTGTAGACGAGTGCCTGTTACTAAGGAAGCTGTGTAAGCCATCTCTGGGAATGAACTGAATCCACTCCAGCTACATGTACACAAGATAAAAGCTTGTGTAAGGGTGCTTGAGATACGGAAAACCTTTCTGCTTTTATTATGATTAATGTTTTGACTAAGGCATGAAGATTTCAATAGGAGAAGATACAATAGAATGATTTTTAAAGTTTTTCTATTTGCATGTATGCATCTAAAAAAATAGCCAATTTGGAATTTTTTTATAACTGGAAAAGAAAAAAATAAGTTTGTGTGAGGAATTGAAAAACTTGACTCTGTTAGGATTGACTGCAAGTATGGATTTTTTTTTTTCCTTCAAATACACTAATAAATAATGTATGTTGCTTGAACAACTAGCATTCCTTTGGACCAATGGACTATGAGAATCTCCAGCAAGAACTTGCTTTAAAAGAAACAGTATGGAAAAAAGTGTCACCTGAATCAAACGAGGACATCTCCAGAACCGTAGTGTATAGAATGGAAGGTCGGGGAGAGCAAAACTAAACGAATGGGTTCTAGTTTCATTAAATTCTTCATTTTAGAAACCCTCAAGCATCTCTAGATTTAACGTTGATTTGAGTATTGTTTGCCTGGTGTTTCATTTATATATACATTTTGTGTAAATTCTGTATGCTATACCAAAAAGACTGTCAAAGTTCAAGGGGGAGGGGAAAGCACATGCAAACAACAAAACCCAAAGCTGTTAACTGACTTTTCTAGTGACTTAAAACACATTTACTTCTAAAAAGAAAAAGGTAAATCTGAATGTTTTTGAAGATATACCGCTTTTGTGTATATCTGTTTGTTTATATCTGAGAGTTTTAAGTAAATTAACTTTAGAGCTAAGCAAGAACTTAGATATGTCCTCTGATCAGGCTCAGCATATAGAGGATTTTTAATTAAAATATAAAGTAGTGTGAGCAAAACACAGCAAATTCATGACTTTCTAAATAATTGTATACTAAGTGGAGATAGGTTCTGAGTCATGTTATTACTGCATCTTTTTTTTTTAATATGAGCTTTCAAATTGCTTTGAACAGAAGTGGATCTTTTCGATATGCCACACTAGTGGAGATTATATATAATTTTTTTTTCATCAGGCCTTTAATAATTATTAAGGCTAACATTTCATTAAAAAGAGCAAAAATGGCTGGGGAGGACTGAGAGAAGGGGGGAAAAAAACCCTGCCTTGTCTGCAAGTTAACTAGTTCTGTGGAAAGATTTCTTACCAAAGTGTTTTGGGTGTCTTGCTGGCTGCTTGTACTGCCAGCTGGTAGTTATGACTCAGAAGTCTGCCTTACTAATAGTGCTGTGCTCCACCCTAGAGAGGAATGTAAGCAATCTTGGGTTCAGAGTGGCAACCAACCAAGTAGTGAGCAGAAAATACAGTCAGAGTAAAGGAGATAGATAGGTATTATTAAAACTGTTTACAATTAACTTATTTTTCAACTGCTAATGTGTGTGCATGTTCGTATATAAGATCAGAGGTTTCATTTACTTACATATTTTTAAGTTTTTTTTTAAAAAGTTATCATTAATTGCTACTTTTCAAAATGATAATGGGATTGCACCTCTGTCAGCTTGCTAAGAAACAGGACTTGCATTCTTCTACAGGCAACTACATGTGTTTACCTGCATAATTTGATAATTTTGAGTGTATCTTGAAATGGTGTATGTAAGCTTCGAAATAGGCTCAGTAGGCAATGCTGGACAGAGGGCAGACTTGTTAAATTCTTGATATTTGCAGATTAGGTACTTAATGATGCTAAAAATCTTAGGAATTTATTCTATTTTTATAAAGTTTTCCCCTTTAAAAGCTTGCAGATAATTTGATATATCCCACCCCTCGTAGACATCATGCAGAGACATGTTTATAAAACTATTGAAAACTTGTCCAAGTCATGACAAATGGTATTAGCTGCTTGAGTATTTTAAGAGACAGTGACAGATAATGCTTTAGTAACACCTCTGCCCCTTCTCCCTGCCCTCTCCCCCAATCCCTCCTCTTTTAGTTTATCCCAAACTCCAAAATACATTCACATGTGAGTTTTGCGTAAGGGGAGAGTTAGATTTTTTTCCTGCCCCTTTTTGTCCCATTAAAGAAGATGGATAAAGCAAAGCTGATGTTCTCTGAGTAAGCAAGCTGTTCTTAATTACTCTGTTTAGATATTGTTAGTTTTGCATAAACATTTTAAATAAGCTCTGACTAAACCCTGAATAATCTTCATCTAACAGTGTATTGTAAAAGGATGGGCTTCCTGTCTTTGAAGCCTAGGATTAAAATGTTTAAGCGAAACAATACAGAACATCATTGGTCAGTGACTTTGAAGTCCTACTGGGATGAAGAGGTAAATCTGTGGTGCAGATGTCAGTAATAAATGTCAGTCATAAATTGCTGAATAATAGCAATTTGATAGTCTTATCAGTGATGATAACGTTAGGTTTGTCAGTGCTTGTCTTGAAAATAAAGTGAAATAAGTAAAGGCAAAATCTTGATTTATAAAAACATCCCACCCATCTGAGGATTTTGCAGTAAACTAGTAGTTACAGAGACATAACAAGTGTTCAGTTCCTGCAAAGCTTCATGTCTTTACATGAAATGCCCTCAGTTGCGAGGGGGAATGTAATGTGTCTGTGCTGCTAATGAAAAGTATTTACAGTGATGACATGTTGCTGGTTAAATTACTGATTTAATTAGAAAAGGAAAGTGTATGATGGAGGATTTGCTTGATCTAATTCTACACACATTATTTTGATTTTTAGTACCATTTGAAACTAATTCTGAAAAAGTAGTTGAAGATGGAAAGTTGTTCCGTCTGAGTTTCAACTTGAAAATAAAAATCTTTATTTATGTTTGTCAATTACATACAAAACTTTTGGTAGAGGCAAGTCCTGAATGGGAAATAGACAATTAAGGGAACTACAAGATCGTTAATATGCGTAATAAGAATATTTAGGGTACAGCTTACACAATCTTTGCTTTAGAGATATATATTACAGTTCTGTAATATATGCTTTTGAAGCCTGTCTCAGAATTTAAGCCAGCCTCTAGTTAGGAGGGGTCAGGAGGAGATTCCTTTGGACCAATTATTTTATAACTTGCCTACGCTCAACAGTTTCTTGTTCTGGGCTGCCATGTCTGCAGATGGCTCTTGTTCAGGCAGGGCACACGGACAGGGGCAGGAGTTAGATCTGCCGTGAGGACTTACCCACACCTGCCCTGTGTTTGGTGAGCAGGTCTGAAGGGACGTGGTGGTAGAGGCTAGTCATTGAATGTTTGAAGTCTGCAACGGTTTTAGTGTTCACCTCTGCTACAGTAATAGCAATTCTTGATATTCAAGCATTTTTAGCTGTTTGTTTGTTTTTCTTTGTCAGCATCATTAACATTTCATTAGAAATGTAAATGCTTTTTACAATTTTATTTTAGCATTTGTGTTGTACTTTTTGGCTCAGTTGTTAAGTTACCTGTCTCGTTTTCCATTTTTCATTTGCATTGTATGTTATTTATGTATCTTGATTTCCAGCATGCTTATTTTTGTATTGTTTAATAAATTTATTTTAAGCTGATTTTTATTGTATTTTTTTTCCTCTCAATGGAGAACAGATTTGTTCAAACACGTTTTTGAGACTGAAGTGAGATAGTGAGCACTTTGTTCTAGAAAATATAAAGTTCTGGAAGGGTAGGTGGAATAAGCAGATTTAGTTAACCCAGTCTTTGAAAACCTTCCTAAGATTTCTAGTTGTTTTTCTCTTTGAACCATTATCTTAGAAGTTGAAAGCAAAAATCAAAGTAGCAAAACTTTCTCACAGTGACTTTTCTAATAAAAACTTCATGCTGCAGTAGGTTATTAACTTCCCTGTGTATTTGTGTGGTTTTGAAGATACTAATTTAGTCACTTGGAAAATATGTGGTTAATGGTACCGGTGCCAGGGTAATAACTGTTGGTCCTGAGCATTGTGAAGTGAAAAATACAGCTTGTAATAAATCACGTGTAGCAAGGAAGGTGGTCCAAACCCCACAGCCATGCATTGGCAACAGTGGTGTCTGAACAACAGGTTGCTGAATCTTGCCCTTTGTCACAGGATTACTTTTTTCCCCATGAAAATTTGAGGTACTAAATAGTAGATGTATTTATAATTTGATGATTCTGAGGGAAGATTTTGTCACTGGAGACATACCCATACGGAGGGGTGGCTGTGATTAAGAATTTAGCTTTTCTGTAGGTTGGTTTATAAACTGCAGTTACTTATACTATGTTTTTAAAATAAGCAGTTTGTTCATTATGTGTATCACACACCAAAAGAGTTTATTCTCTAAAAGTCAGAAAGACGAGGAAAGGTAGAAAAGTAGTAGATAAAAAGAGAGAACCATGGGTGATTTACTGTAGAATTCTTTTGGCTCTTTTATTTTGGTTTTCATTGTGCATTTGTGTCAGAACACCAGTGGGTGGGTAGATGAACAAAAAGGCAATGGAGTCAGAAGAGGGGGGTGGGAGGAGGGGAGAGATTGTTTTTTC